AGGGTTGTTGACGGTACAACCTATGGACATGTCAGCAAAGAATTTTATGCCGGGCTGGTCACTTAAGGAAAAGCTGGGACTTTTGCACAGACTTTATCCTAATACTCTACCACCTCCGTCGGATGAGCAGGAGATAGGTATTCCCGTGGAACTCGGATTATCAGGTTGTCTTCCCCTGGAACGGATGCCCAGGCTGTCGTTACCACATTCATCATCGCTTAAGAAAGTGTTGGAGAATTACAACTTAGGCCTCTCCAAGGCTACGAACTTGAGTTCTTTGCCTAGGGTTTCTCATAAACCCATTTATTCCATCCATGATCGTGTTATCCCAGCCAATCAACCAAGTTTAGACAAGGACTTTAAACAGTTACAGGATGCTAGAGGCTCTCGTTACTATGCAGAGGTCTGTACTTTCAAGGACTGTAGGGAATTGGATACGGCAGCCCGCTCGGCAATTGATACCCTGTCTTATTCAAACTGGTTTTCTGCGGGCATTCGTGCCTTGCTCCCACCTGTGTTTCAAGATTATACGTGAGTTAAGAAAGACACTTTGATTTCCATGACAGCTCAAGAGGTGGCCTCAGCGCATTTATTTCTGGATGTAGTGTATCAGTCCTTAGCCGATGCGATGGTGTCTCAGGTGAATATATTGGGCCGACTTACAGCTATTGAGCGGATACAGCGGCTAGATTCAGTGAGGAATTTAACGGATTTTTCAAGGGATTTTCTGTTTCATCAGCCCTGGAATCGGATAGCACCTTTAATGGACAATGTCAACAGGCTATTGAGGCTAGAGATGCTTTGACGTCGAGGAACTTGAATCAACGGTTGGCGTCGGCTCTTTTATTCCAAAATAAAGGAAGGGCTGACTCTAGATCTAGAAGGGGATCCAGTGTTACGTCTCACTCTGCTCAATCTTCATCACGGCATAGTCAGAATTTTCAGAGGTCTGCATTTGGACGTGCCTCGGATTCAAGAGCGCGTTCAACAAATGTGGCTTTTACTAGAGGCTCATCCTCATCTAGGGGTAGAGGTAGGGGAGGTAGATCTTTTCGTGGATCAAGATCAACTTCCAAGAAATATTGACTCAAGTCTCACTGTTCATCACTCTCCTCCTTACGAATCAGAAACATTCCTCGACATGATATTGAATTTGGACTTTGTATGTCCGGTGACACAATCTCCAGTAGGGGGCAGGTTGGCCCAATACTTGGACAATTGGAAACTAATAACATCAGACAAGTGGGTCCTGTCTGTCGTGAGCAGGAGGTTTATTCTTCCTTGGCACAAGCAGCCTCCAGTGACTTGCTTTCCAGAGGGTCATCGGTTTGTTCTTCAACGTTTAGCAGGAGCAAACTTAGCAATAGACCAGTTACTGGAGAAACTGACAATCATAGAACTTCCTCCAGGGGATCAGACATGCGGATTTTATTCACCGGTATTCCTAGTCTCCAAGAAAGATTCGGATGAAATGCGCATGATAATAAACCTTAAAGTGTTGAACAAGCTATTTTTGAGGAAACCTCCAAAGTTCAGGATGGAATCAATTGCAAACCTACGTACCTTGATTTGTCAGGATTCCAAGCTTTAAGGAAAGATCTAAAGGATGCGTATCTTCATATCCCTATTCATCCGAGATCTTGCAAATATCTCTGATTTGCGATGAAGGGTCGCAGGTTTCAGTTCAGGGTGCTGCCGTTCGGAATATCACTAGCGCCGTGGCTGTTCACGAAATTAATCTCCCCGATTCTAGCTTTTCTCCATCAACGAAGGATTGCGATACACGGTTATCTGGACGATTTCTTGGCAAGGAATGTGGTGACTGTGGTTCTCATGAAGCAAACCAACTTTGTCATTCACGTGTTTATGCATCAGGGTCTAATAGTTAATCCTACCAAGTCAGAACTGGTCCCTTCCACGAGGATCAAGTTTCTGGGGACAAATCTTAGATTCAAGAGCATGCCGTATTTACACTCGTCAGGATTGTTGGTTGCGAAGATCAACCAAGATAACCAACATGTTACAGAGGCCAGTTGCATCCCGCAGATATGGCTCAACCAGTGTCGGATGGAGGACTTGGAACATCTCATACCTTTTCCAGACAGAGTGTGAAGGGAGATATTATGGTGGACTGTGAATGTGAATGTGTTGCCAGGAGTTTCATTACGTCCTCGTTTACCGGATCTGACGCTTTATGCGGATGCGTTGAACACGGGTTGGGGTGCACACATGGACATTTGGCAGACTCTAGGAGTGTGGAATCCGTCAGAGGTGAAACTGTCGGGAAATGTTAGCACTGTTAAAAGCGATCCGTTGCTGGGGGAATCACTTGTACGGGAAGAATCTCATGTTAGTGTCGGACAATTCTACAGTAGTGGCTTACATCAACAAACAGGGAGGTACCAAATCTCAACAGTTCCTCAGGATCACTCAGGATCTGTATCAAACAGTTGACACTATAAATTGTTTAATCAGGGCGCGCCACATTCCAGGTCGGAAGAATATCTCGACAGGACAGGGTGATCTCAACTGAATGGACTCCCAAGGAAGAGACATTCCATTTGATAGGACAGACGTGGGAAATTCCAAACATAGGTCTGTTTGCGACTTCCAGGAACTTTCGGATTCCAACTTTTGTGAGCCCAGTACCGGACCCATTTGCATGGGCAGTCGACGCCCTATCCATATCGTGGGAGGGGATGATAGCCTATGCATTTCCTCTATTGAAACTAATCCCAGAGGTTCTGTTAAAAATTCAACAACACAGCTGTCTTGTTTATCTAGTGGCACCCAGCGTGGCCTGCCAGACCTTGGTTTCCCACTCCACTGCAGCTATTGGTGGACAAACCTCTACGTCAACTTGTGCTACACGTATGGAAGCTATCTCAAGCTCACTCAGAAAACAGGAATTTACGGTTGGGTTACCAGAGCTATTTCAGAATCTGTTAGACCTTCCACAGCTGCCTTGTACGACGCTAAGTGGCGACGATTCATCCAGTGGAGACGAGAATGTGGAATCTTTGATTTGCCTGTCACCATTCCAGTGATAGCGGATTTTATCTTGTTCCTAAGGGAACAGAAACATTTGAAGCATAATTCTATTGAGGGATATCGATCGGCTATTGCTTCAGTCATGGATTTTCAAGGTTTATCTGTGAGCTCAGATATATTGCTTCACAAAATAATCAGATCCTTTCAGATTAAGGATATATCGTCTCCAACGATATTTCCTAAGTGGGATTTAATGTAAGTACTAAAATCTCTTCAGAAATCTTATGAGCCTATGCAGGACGTTTCTCTAAAGTATCTGGCATTTAAGACGGCATTTCTCTTGGCATTTGCAACGGCTTCCAGAGTTTCGGGAATTACATGCGATAGACTTTGAATCCATCACTTTTTAGGAAAGATATAAACAGATAATTTTAGAACTGTGCTGGAATTCATTGCCAAGAATCAGACTTCTGCTTGTGGTCCGTTGGGACATAGGATATACCGTATACCTCAGCTTCCTACCTCTACCTCTAGATCGGATAGGACTAGACTTTTGTGTCCCATACGTGCCTTACGCTGGTACATTCAGCGTACTTCGACGTTTAGACGTAATCATGACAGACTGTTTATTTCATGTAAGACAAATGTGGACTCTGAGATATCCAAGAATACCATATCTTCATGGCTCAGAAAGACTATATCTTTTGCTTATAGGGATCTGAATCAAGACTTAATTGATCTTAAATTCTCCCCCCATGAAATTAGAGCTCTAGCTTCATCCTTAGCGGCTTGGTCGTCAGTTCCGTTAGAACAAGTTGTGTCTAGTTGTCAATGAAAATCTCCTAATACCTTTATCCATTTTTTTCCTCTGGGATGTTGCTCCCACTATTGAAGGCTTACATTCATTAGGACCTTTAGTAGCGGCTCAGCACCTCGCCTCAGCCTGACTGCCCCTTGGCATCTTCAGGAAGGATGACGCAGTTGGAGATGGTGCCAAAGACTATCTGAGGGACGACTCGGAGGGATGATGGATACTGGTCAAGTAACAGCATGTAGCAAGACAAGTTGACATGGTACATCTAGGTGTATCAACTAACCGACCACAGTATGGACAGAGTTTCTAACTCCTGAGCTATGGTTGATGGCTTCAGGTTAAAACATGATTTACTAGCTCAAGGTGGTTACCTTAAGGTTTGAGTTAGGTACATTTATAGTCTCATCACAGTTAACCGGGAAGTGACGTCTTAGATCCGGAAGTGACGTCATAGAACCTGAAGTGATGTCATAAAGTAGAATCTAAGTTATTTATTATTATATCATAGAGATTGTTTCTAGGGTCCGGAAGTGCGGTCATTAGACCGGAAGTGACGTCATCAAACAGGAAGTGACGTCATAATTACCGGAAGTGACGTCATAATTTAGGGATATAAGGTTTAATGACATAATTCGGGATTGGGATAGAATCAATATATTCATAGGAATCTATCGTAATCCAGATTTATGGTGTCAGGAATTATATAATCCCTACTATTACGGATTAGGATTATCATGATATCTCTCATATCAACCATAACTGCAGGAAGTTAGAAGACTCTCCATCTCTGGGAATGTATTCCCTCACTGCTACTGACAAATCTGGAGATAATTTTTTATCTCTGACTAAGTCATAGTTATTCTTAGGAGGTTGAGTAATCAACTCTCAGCTAGTGGTATAGAGGGTAGTATCTTCCAAGGGTAACCCTCCTTCCTTACTTGGGATTCAGGCTACCATAATCCAGAGGGAATGTTTATGTTATAATTAGGAACAATTACATGTATTGTTAGTAATTGTTAGTAAACTTACTTCTGGATTATGGGTAGTGAGTTTCCACCCTGTGTCCTCCCCGCGAATTTATCCTGAGAAGATGTCATAGATGTGTGTTTTTTTAGAAAAATTATGAAGGGTTCTAGAAGAACAATACAGTGACATCAGGATCAAGGGAGATAACTCAGGGGTAGACTAGGTATACCACTAGGAATAGCTATGACTTAGTGTTAAAATTTCTTTTGATTGTCTGTATGTAATCTGTGTATCCACAGGAATAAGGCTACAATAATCCAGAGGTAAGTTTACTAACAATTACTAACAATACATGTAATTGTTCCTTTTCTAGTACACACTTATCAACTTAGTTAATCTACAGCTAGTTTGTCCACAAAGTAATTTATCATTGTTCGCATCACATCAAAACAGATTCCATTTACAATGTAAAAAGATCCTCATAGCTCCAATGAAATCAGAGACCATCCTGACTCAAGACATAGCTGATATTGGGGAAAGATTCCAACATCATTTGGGAAGTCTTAGCCCTCCAGAGGTTTGTTTTATCAAAGCTAAGATGATGCCTCTTTTTTTCGGATATCTTTTTTTGGGGAGCCTCACATCACTACAAGACATGACTTTCAAAGGGAGCTTGACACTACATCCTATCTAGAAATGGATCAATGTTCATAAACTTTGGATACCCTCATACAGATACCATTAGATCTGATACAGAATGCTCTTTTGAGGAATCACAGAGATCACATCATGAAAGGCATTCCTCTAATCCAAACATCAACTATTAACAATTGTATCAAATATTTGTAGGGGAGCTGATATGGACAGTCTCAAGTTTCAGGGTCTACAGAAGAGATCTGTGAAGAACCTCCACATCAACTGTCTCAAGATGAGAGCAGTCTCTTACACTTTCAAGAACTGGAGGAATCTACTTGTCACAGACAACACAACAGTGTCAGGATACTGGAACCTAGTTCACTTATGATGGAGACTTCAGAATTGTTTTCCTTGGCAGACTCCATCAAAATTATCAACCAAATGGAAGTGAGACATTTCCCTGGGAGACTAGATATCTTAACAGATAGCCTTTCTCGCCAGTAATGATGATGTGATGGTCACTGAACTCAGAAGTTTTCAACTGGATGGCATCATGATGAGATGCCCCAAACCCAGAACTCCTTCTGTTTTATGTCAGTACAGTTCCATATCCAATGGCCCTTCGGGTAGATGTGCTATCTATGGATTGGACTGGCCTGTGTGCCTATGCATTGCCTTCATGGTTTTGTCTGGACAGGAAGATAGAGATGACAGATTGTGATTGCTCCCCTATGGCCAAGCATCATTTCCATGTTTGATTGGCATTAAGAATTGCATGTAATACAATAGCAAGTAGTACATAATTGGTTGAGGCCAGGAGGGAATTAAGAACAACAATTAGGATGGCCCATCAAGCCAATAAGCAGGATTGATTAAGTAGTAAAACCAGTAGAAAAACAAGCTGATTAGGTGCTGATAGATATGTTGATAACATTGGCTAGTGCGTGTCCCAGGTACTGTAATGAGATGAACTTGCAGTCAAAGAAACATAATAACACACTATCACTGAGCCATAAATTAGGCCCCCCTTTACACTGAGCTGCGACTGTTCTGCCTTCTGAAAATGACAAGGACGCTCAATGGTCGCCAAACTTCAAGAAAAACATGTTTCTGTGTAACTGCTCCAGCGATCCTTCTGCCTTCCTTGTACAACCATACTACTCATTTCTGGCATTTTCAGGGCGATCTTCGAGCAACCTGTGCTCCTTTGGGTGACACTTCTGCTTTCCTTTTGCCTTCCATCTGCCTCCCCTGTACGACCATACTCAACCAACGGCGTTCATTCTGCCTTCTCCACGACCCTTGAGCATTCTTTCAGCAATCTTTGGCATTACTTGTGCATTCTTTCAGCGATCTGTGGCAACTGTTCAGCATCCTGTATCTCCTGAGTGGTTATGTCATTCTGTCCTCAGTTGTATTCAAGCAGGCAAAGCGAAACCATCACATCAGATTTCATCTTCCACAGGGATTCCTTTATGTTTATTGTTATATTGGGCCATCCTTTATCATACATTTCGGGATTTCGCTCTCTAAGCCATTCACCTATGCTCTCCTCTTCTTCAATGGTGAAATTGTTGCAATCTTTTCTCTATTTTTCCTTTTATTCCTGGGAACAGTTTGAGATATCTCTGAATCAGTGTTTGATTCATGTACAATTCCATGACCAATATTAGAGGGCAGCTCTTCTGAAGCTGTAGCCTGTTCATCATTATGATCAGCAGAAACATTTTCCTGTTGATATTTGTTTTTGAGTAGTTTTAGAGGCACCTTTGTGGGTTTTGGCCCTTCGTCAAGTTGAGTACTTCTTTGGCGGCATGGTGAGACGGCAGTGAAAAATCAGCAGCACCAGGCCTGTTTATAGGTAGTCTGAATAGGTAGTCGCTCAAGGGATGCCACTGTCGCCGAATGAAGGCACAGTGATTGCTCAACACATGCTATTAGTTGCGCAAAGAACGCATAAGAATGGCACAAAGAAGGCAGCGGCATCATCCCGGTTGACAGAGCTATTACATGGCGTCCTTTCATCGACCGCTGTACGTTCATTCTGCGACCACGGTGATGCTTCTGCCTCCTTTCAGCCTTGTTCAAGCATCCTTTGTGCAACCAAACTCCTGTGCGACCGCTCTGCGTTTGTTTTGAACATGTACAATATAGTCGCTGCCACCATGGCAGAATGGTTGCCGTCCTGTGTAAAGGGGGTGTGGAACAGCCCAGCTACATAGATCAGTCCCTCACTACGGCGTCTCTGTTACAAAACAATGTAATGTATTTCTTGGTATTTACTTTCCCTTCCAGGAAGGTTAACATCCCCAGTATTTTAAGATGCAAAAGTGGCAGAATTGACCATTGGAAGGAAAAAATAACTGGAAGTGACGTCAGAGCCAGAGATGTCATGTTATTTGAGAGAAAGTGAATTATGATGAACCAGAAATGATGTCACACTGATTATTATTTGAGAGATAATTAGTGGTTTCTTAAGAGATTTACAGCACAAATATCAAATATTATTGTTCATGTAAAGAAGAGACTATGTATCTGTTTTTGTGCACAAAGTTTCAATGATTCTTAGGAGGAATCCATAAGATTTACTGTTGTCAGCTACTCCACTAGTTTGCCAGAAGCCACCTGTTTCCCTCTGGAGTTCGGTGGCAGTGATGTCATACAGGCAGAGGATTCATAAGATTTATCAATCAGTAGTTATCATTGTTGATATCGTTCAAATGTGTGTAGAGATTTGGGAGTCTAGTGGTTAGAGTGTACACTGAAGACCCTGATTCGATTTCCCCACAAGGGTACAATGTGAATCTACAGATTTTTTTCAAATTTGGTAATAAGTCATGTCAAGAGTTAAAATAATCATATAAATATCCTAATCAATGAGGATGACCTCTAATGTTGTTTATTGTAACAGGAGATGCCCTAGTAAACAGGTGATGTAATAGTGTCAACAATGTGTGTGACCACAGGTCAGGATAAAGGTGAGGCAGTGAGTGTGCATTGAAAACATGTTATATAGATGAGAGATAATAATAATAATGCATTTATTTCTGACTAGTTGTTCACTGGACGCTGTAATCAGAATCTGACTATTATTACCCCGGATAACCCAAGCTGCCTGTAAGGAGCAAGAAGGTAATAGTCACATGACTGGGTACCCATTTTCTGCTGGGTGAACAGAGGCACTTTTGAACAAACTCACTTGCCTAAGGTGAGACCACATGTGTCACATGTGCTTCGTTGTGGGGCAGGACTGAAGTCCTAGACGCTCTCAGGAGTCAAGCTGCCAAACACAGTCATTCATACAAGGACTGTCTGAGTTCGACGTTGCTTAACTTCAACTGATTTCGTGACCTGAGCTCTGCGCACAGGACCACACACCAGCACAGATGAAGAAACTGTTGACCCTGGCAGTACAGTAGTGTTTTTGCTGCCTCAAATGTTCTGTTGCAACATGTGCAATATCTTGGCATGCATTTGCTGCATCCTCACGTTATGCCCCTGCATTTGTGCATAGGGTAGAACCAATGTTGTCCAGGTAGTGTATGCCATTCAAATTGCCAGTAACAATTCATTAAATTCTGCCCCAAAATTGATGCTAAAACATTCCCTGGTAGACTCTGCCCTACTATCAGACCTGTTGAGATGAAACCTAGATTTATGTTGTCATCTGACCCTGGCGTGGCAGACAGTTAGAAGTAAGCATGATTGTGCTGCTGTTCCCTCAACCAGTTGGAGATGGTTCTGCCAATGGTCTTAGCCCAGAAATTGTCCTGGGTCTTAATGTGGCAGTTTGGTATCCATTCCATCGATACACCAACCGAATTTGGTTGTCTTGATATGATGATGTTTATCCCAATACTGTTCATTTCTATGCTCAACAATATTTTTATCATCCAGGTATGTAATACCCAGTGAACCAGTCATCAACTTGTTTGTGTATCCATTTGTATTCAGTTTATCTGTACCATATCTCTAAATGTAATTGGTATTCTTTCATGAAACTTTGCACACATGTAGATTGTTTGTTGGTACCTTTCGCTATTTCCCATTTCCACTGCAACAGGTTTGACTCTGGTCTGAAATTCTGAAACAAATAGGTACTAATAGAGGGGTATTTGTCATCTTCTGATGATCTTCTGCTTATGGTGGCAGAATGGGGTGGGTTTCGTGTTCTTGCGATTAGGTGCTTCTTTCCAATGTTGTGGGGCTGAGATGGGAGTCAGCCTCAAAACATACTGGAATCTGTGCAATAATAAAATAAAAAATTGTTACATTTTTACCTTTCTTAAAGGCATCATGTATTCAAACATGAGGTAAACATGGAGTGTCAAGATTCTTATACACATAAAATTGTAAGACCAATGCTGAGATAATGCTGAGGTGAATATGGAATCAAGTAAATTTCCAAGGCACCCCATGACCACAGGAACACATAGAGATATGATAATAACTAGAAGCTGTGTCATTGTCCAAACTGGACATATTTCTCAGCAAAAAAAAATTCTCTTGGCAAAGGCAACAAATTGGCTAATAGTACATCAATGTTTTTATCTTTGTTTCAGAAATGTAAAAAAAGAATCACAACTTGGCTGCAGGTTTCACTGAAAGACACAATGGAATCTATGAGTTATGAAAATGATGCTCATCATGGTTCTGTCCTTGAAGAGATGAAAAGTATGTTTGATGACAGACAGCTTATTGATGTAGTAATATGTGTTCAAGATGCACGCATCCCAGCTCACAGAAATGTTCTTGCTGCAACAAGCCCTTATTTCAAAGCCATGTTCACTACCAACTTGACTGAAAGCCGACAAAGACAGATACTTCTTCATGAAGTTGACCCAAAGTCTGTGTCACAAATCATCAACTATGCATATACTGGAAATCTTGAAATTACACGTGGAAATGCACAAAATCTTCTTGCCACTGCATCTCTGTTTCAAATTTTGCCTGTACAAAAAGCATGTGCCAAATTTATGGAACTTCAATTAGATGTGAATAACTGTGTTGGAATATACTACTTTGCCCACATTCATAGCTGTGAGGAGCTTAGAGTAAAGGCCAGAGAGTTTATTGAGAAGAATTTCTGTGATGTATATAAAACTGAAGAATTCCTTTCACTGTCTCATGAAAAAGTCTCAGAAATCATATCATCCGATGAACTGAATGTAGAGAAGGAAGAAATTGTTTATGAAGCTCTAATATTGTGGATCTATCATGAAATAGAAAGTAGAAAAGAGTACCTTGGAGACATGCTGCCCTTAGTCAGGTTAGGGCTTCTTACAGTGAAATATATCCAAGAAAACATTGCCGCAAATATATTGGTAAAACAGTCAAAAAAATGTGCAGAACTGTTGGATGACCTCAAAGACTTTGAACAATGTCCCGAAACATATGATGGTGAATACAACTTTGGGTTGTGCCTGAGATCAGGAATGATTCAACCAGAACACTGCATTCTCTTTATTGGTGGTATTGATCAAAGTAAACCATCAATTAACTGCTACAATCCATTAACTCGTGAAGCATTCCTGATGGAAACATTCCCAGAGACGGATGATCGCAGTGGTTATTACTGTGTTGAAGATCCAGCTGTTTGTGTGACAGAAGACAATATCAACTATGCTGCTGGTGGCAATTACATTTATCATGAAAACTATGGAGAAACACCTTCAGATGACTCCTTTGATGATTTTGATGATGAAGAATCAGTAAGAAAAGACTTCTATCAGTATGATAATGACCATAACAAATGGATTGCCAAAGCACCAATGCTGTTTCCGAAATCAAACTTTTCTCTTGTATATCTTGATGGAAAGATTTATAGTTTTGGTGGGCTTACAGTCAACCAACACCCAACTGAAATAGTGGAATGTTATGATATTGTGAAAAATAGATGGAACTATGTTGGAATGATGCCAACAACTCTAGTAGATTTGTGTGCTGTTGCATACAGAGGTGAAATCTTCTTGTTGGGCGGAAGAACTGGTGTAGGAGCTCACAATGTGGTAATGAAATTTGACCCAAGACGCTTTGACTGGACTTCACTTGCAGGCATGCCAACTCCAAGGTTTAACTTTGGAGCACATGTAGTCGATGATGACATTTTTGTAGCAGGAGGTCAAATATACTCCCATCTGACTCTTACAATAAACAGAGAAGCATTGAAGTCAGTAGAAATATACAACATTCCAGAAAATAAATGGAGACAAGGACCAGATCTGCCAGAGGAAATGTACAATGTGTCCTTAATGCAGGTAAATGGAGCTCTCTATGCTTGTGGTACAACGGAATACCAAAGATCTCCTTTTCGCATATATCGTTACAATGTTGTGTGTAAACTGGACATGTGTAGAAATGAGTGGCAACAAATTGAATCCGACTTGTGTGACATCCGCAGCTATGCATGTGTTTCAGCCAAACTCCACACAAGAAAATTATCACAAGTCTTCCGACCTGAAGTGGATACATAAATGAAAGAAATGGAAGTCTGGTTCCATGGTTCCATGCGTTATTATTTTGTATTTCTGCATTATTTATTGGCTGTCTTGCCATCAAGCTATATTTGCTTGAAAAACTTTTTATACCCTATGATTCCTTTTATATTAAATTTGTTCTGAATGAGACTGCAGAAGCACCTATGAATGACTTAAGTATTAAATATTTTAAGCCACTTGAAATATTTGGGTTGACAATTTTGTAACACTCCCTATTATTTGAAACTTGGATATTTGTACTTCCTGTTTCAGCTGCAAAACAATAAAATTGTGTTCACCATATTTTTTTATTAAGTACAGTGATTTGCTGAGTGAAACTGTTGTTGGCATTAACTACCTTGTATTTCTTTCAGTTTTCAACAAAAGAAAATACTGGACTGGAAATGCATTTTAACAAATGCTTACAGCCTTTATTTTGGTCCACGTGTTCCTTGTTCATATGTCCATCAAATATTCAAATATTTCACAAATATTTGACTACTGTCACAGAATAATACAATATTATAACAGTATCTAAATTCTTCCAGTTGGAGATGTGATTGTGCTGCCAACACATAAATTAGCCTCTTTTATCCTAAAGGCACAGGCAAGATTCTAACCATGCGAGCATTTATACTGGTGGTTATAAATGTATTTTTCACAGTATAATAGTATAAAATTAAAATGAAATATGATACACAATATTATAAGGTTACTTGATTTGGGTTGTGCAATATATGACCACCAAATAATGAAACATGTAGTTTGAGTTAGAGCTTTTATTATCCCCCACAACGCGTTTTACAGGGGGTATTAAAATGGTCTCCGTGCACATTTGTCTTTTCCGGAGCAGAACTCTAAAACCGTTCAATATTTCTTCACCAAACTTGGCACATAGATAGATCTGGTGGTGTACTGGTGCCTTTTGATAGTTTTGGAATTCTGAATAAAACATTTTTGGCGTTTCCATGGCAACAAGTTTGACTTAGCCTGAAATTGGTGGTTGTGCTCTTTTCCGGGGCTGAACTCTAAAACCGTTCACTATTTCTTCACCAAACTTGGCACATAGATTGGTCTGGTGGTGTACTGGTGCCTTTTGGTAGTTTTGGAATTCTGAATAAAATATTTTTGGCTTTTCCATGGCAACAAGTTTGACTTAGACTGAAATTGGTGATAGTGCTCCTTTCTGGAGCAGAACTTTTAAAACCTTTCAATACTCTCCTTCCACTTTTCTATATACACACCTAAATATTTGACATAATCATAACTCGTAGACATAATCATGAAGAGTAATTTGCCATTGCGGGGGATATTGATGACTTTGTTTTCTTGTTTACATTCAATCTAATTTGTACAAATGGGTGATGATGGGTTAAGATGGATGATAACTGTCCTTAGATATGATATTAGAAATTTTCCAAATTCTCGCTTCTTTGTGTATTCATACCTTTCAGCGTTGAGAGCCAGGCCATTTATTCTTGTTGAAGGGGTACACAAAGTGTTAAGTATAGACTACCAGTTGACCAACTTCATTTTAATCCCCCCGGCATGTAATGCGGGGGGATGTAGTCATCGCCTCGTCCGTGTCCGTCCGTAATCATTTTGTTTCCGGAGCATTTACTCCAAGACCGTTCGATATTTTTCAACAAAAATTGGTAGATATACTGACACACATTGAAAACGCAAAACCAAATTCAAATGAGGAAAACTTAACAAACAATAATACTTGGATGGAAATTGTTCTACAGTTATGTTGAGAATTTCATTGTGCTTCATTTTCATAAAAAATGATTGCAAGAGTTCTGCCAATATGACTGACACGTCAAGCGTCACACACAGACCCCCTTACGTCCGTCAGTAGGGAGTGTGATCTCCCTGAGCCTGTACACATGCACAGAGTCGACATGGCATGGATTCGCACAAACGTCGAACAGGTGCTTGGGGGATGTTCTGCCACTCCTGTTGTAATCCCAGGGTCAACTCAGCGACGTTGTTTGGCTTACGTTGACGTTGACATTGATGAATCCGGCGACCAAGCTCATGTTCATGTTACTGCCTGTAGACGCGTTGTCTGCCATCTGCAAATGACACACAGAACCTGGACCCATTGAAAAACACCCACTGGTTGGAGATTCATGGTGGTTGGAGGCTATTTTGCTGTGCAAACAGGAGTCTGTTGACTCGATGACGTTGCGTAATGACGTTTCCCGATATGGCCCCTTAGTGCCACAGCCTGCAGACGTCAAATGACTGTCATGGCACTGATGTGGCGTCCTTTACGTCCTACGGTCTTTCGAGGTGAGTTTGCTGCTGTCTGAAAGCGGTTTCTTTGGTGAACTCGTCGGATGTGCCGGTCTGGACGTGCCGTCGTGACCGGAGTTTGTCCTGGTAAGGGACAGTCACGGACATTATCAGTTTGCTGATGACGATTTTGGAGTCTGTTGATGGTGGATTGGCTCACTCCGAAGTGGTGGGTGACCTCATTTTGTGATGTTCCCACCAACAGCATCCCGATAGCTTGTTCCCTCTGCTGTTCACTGAGCCGTGGCATTTTGTGACTGCTAGTGAAACAGTTGAACCATAGTGCCTTTTTGCGTCCAATACCTGGCTTTGCATGTGTATGTCATGATCATCATGCACCCCAACAGGTCCAAGGAATATGCCAGAGTTGTGTTTTCATGAACTGTACCCATGCCAGAAACAGGTAAAGGGTTCGAACCCAGATGTGCATATGGTTTTATTCGGCAACCTCACATCACGATATTTTCGTAAGGTAAATGAAATTGCTTCACAAAACTTTGTTAGAAATTGCCAAAATGGGTTTTGCGTTTTCAATGTGTGTCAGTATATAGCAAACAGAACCTAAGGTGGTGCCTTTTACTATTTACAGATTTTTGTCATTTTTATTTTTCTCGGTTTCCATGGAAACGTTTTGGACTTAGTCTCTGAAAAAGGAGGGGTGGGTTTCGTTTCCGGAGCACAACTTGAAAACCGTTCCATATCTTTCTACAGAACCTGGCAGATATATGAGACAGATCTTGAAGTGGTGCCTTTTGCTATTTGCAGATTTTTGTCATATTTATTTTTCTCGGTTTCCATGGAAACGATTCAGACTTAGTTTCAAAAGGCAGGGGTAGGTTTCGTTTCTGGAGCACAACGCAAAAACTTCTTAATATTTTTCAACAAAACTTGGCAGATATGTTAGGCAGATCCCAAAGTGGGGCCTTTTGCTATTTGCAGATTTTTGTCATTTATGTTTTTCATGATTTCCATGGAAACGATTTGCACTTAGTCTAAAATCAAGCTGGACTTGAAGTAACTGTCAGATGATTTGTTCTTTCAAAGATGTGGGGGCCGGGGGGATATGTCATCTTCTGATGACTCTTGTTTATGTAAGCCACAGTGGGTGGGGATAACTGACATTGTGTGCTGGTGATTAGATACCTGACTATGAGAATGTGGGTTCAAATCCCAGATGGGACTCAACCAAAAAAATAGTACTAGAATCTGTACTTTACTGAGAAAGTGTAATACCAAGTATAACATATGTTACATTTGACCACTTTCTGAATGGTATTGTGTATTCATAGCTTTTGTCCATGTGGCAAGCTGTTTTCACATTTATTAAGAAATTAAAGATATCTTTAATTGTTTAAAATATATCTGTATTCTATTTAAAGAAATCAATAATGTTTTAAGACATTTCATAATGTCTCTAAATGTGGTTACGATATCAATAAAACAATTAGAATCATTGTGTACATAATTGATTTAGAAATGAATTCAAGATATCTGCAATTCAAGTCAAGATATCATGAAAACAATTATACATTTTCATAAACACATTACATCAATTAGAGATATCTTATACGCAGATTGTAGATATCTTAAATTCTGGTCGTTACTGACATCTAAAATCTCTAAAATGTCTAAAATCTCTAAAATAATTATTGATACAGATACCAGTTAAGAATGGAAAGAATATCTCTTTTTGAAATATACTAGGCACACAAAGAAACTGTACAAAAATTTAAAATCTAAATTTATCAAACCTGTGTAGAGACATAAGGATTGAAACTCAGAGATTAGTGACATGTATCCAACATCCATGCACGTGCCACGTCCCGTGACGTCGGTGGGTTCGTCCTTGAGACGTGCAATACGTTGTTGCACGTGCTTCCTGGGAAAGAGAAACACAGCAAATGAATGCCACACAATACTGTCACTTTGGAAAGCTCAACCCCTGCCCTTGGGATCGTTCAAAAAATTATACGGCCATTTGAAACGCATGGCATGCCAAGGCTCACGTCTGCACAACGTCATGAGGCCATTGGGATGGTCCGTGGGGGGAATGTCTCAACGACAAGTGGCTGCACATTTCCACTGCCACCGGAACACCATTTCTGCACTGGTGAGACGCTACCAGAACAAATGACGTCATCGATCGGCCTCGTTCTGGACGTCCACATGTAACAACGCCAAGACAGGACATATGGATAAGGGTGACCCATCTTGGCCACAGGTTTCAGACTGCAGTGATGACTGCCCGAACCATTCCAGGACTTTGCCGTATCCACCCCAACACAGTTCGACACCGTTTACGTCATCACGGGATCAGACCACGATGTCCCGCCATACGGCCTATCCTGACACAACGTCATCGACAAGCTCGCCAAATGTGGTGCCGAAATCATGTCCGCAGACCCATGTTTTGGTGCAGAAATGTTGTTTTTACAGATGAGTCCAGGTTTAACATTTCCCATAGTGATGGACGTCAACGTGCCTATAGACGCATGGGAAAACGTTATGCACAGGCCTGTGTCTTGGAGAGGAATCGCTTTGGTGGTGGTCCCGTGACGATTTGGGGTGGAATAACAGCGCGCAAAAGAACTCCGTTGGGGATTGTTCAGGGCAACTTAACTGGTGTGGGCTACAGGGATCAGATTCTTCGACCTGTGGCAATTCCTTTTCTGCAACGTCATGGCCCTGGGTTAACATTCCAACATACAGCAACGGTTGCTATGGATTTCTTGCAACACCACAACGTGACATCCCACAAGCCTTCCTTGCACGTTTGATAGGCTCTATGCGTCGTCAATGCACTGCTGTTCTCAATGCCGATGGTGGACATACCTGTTTGTTTATTCGGCTAGTATATTTAATTCATTTCAGAATACCTCCAATTCAAATCAAAATGTCTTCAATGCAATAATAGATATCTTTAAAGCAGTTACAGAAATCAGTAATTTCTCAATTGTGGCAGCAGACCAAGCTTTGGAACAGAAGTAAACCACGCACACACA